GGGACATGTGTTACGTATGTAGCCAGATAGGCTACCGCGGCGAACGATGTTTGCCAAGGCTGGTAGCGATTGGAATAAGATAAAGGGCGGTCAAACTAAGACCTGGCATGAGGGTATGAAAACCCTAACCAGGAGGCCCTGTTAGGCTTCCTAGCTGGGGCCCTCGGGATGATAGTCACCGATGGTTAGCTACACTGAGTGATATGGATGGGTGTCGCAAACAGTGGCGCTCGTGCATCCCGTCGTTATTCTCCTAAAACCACTATATGAATTCCCCATCTTCCCCTTGAATTTCCTTCGACATTCCAATGTGCATTTTGCTCTTTTATCCAAATGGGCAACCAAAACCGGCGGACGAAAGTGCATGGTAATGGTTGTAAAAACTGAACTGAACTGAACACATATACACGATAAAGCATTGTCGTGTTTCGAAACTTCAGAGCGGCCTTCGACTCTGTCGATTTCCCGGCTCTGTCAAACTGCTTGCGAAATTTCCGAGTCATCATCATTAGCATCGTACAGTGAAGCAAACTTCACTGATCGCTGCCAAACTTGCATTGCATATAAGGTCATTGGTAAAATTTTAGATGGACAGGAATTGGACTTACTTTGAGGGAGGGGGAAGAAGGTGAACCTCTGTGGTCAACACATAGATTGCACAATCGAACTCTGCATACGGAGTGCCCGATAAGTATGTTCTGCTTTTAAAAGCATTCTCCCGCTATACCTCGGGGAATGTTAGGGTCTATGCTGAAATTTCCCCCTTGTTTCCTGTCACTAGTGGGGTGTGACAGGGTTGCCCTTTCTTTCCGTTTCTCTTCAGCTTTGCTATAGATGATGTTCTACAAAATGCGTTAGATAACCTAACGAACGCTGGCGTCGGTCTTCCTGGTGACAGTCGTAGACGGCTAACCGCAACAAACGCCACTTGAGCGTTCTATGGAATACAGTAAGTTGTATATGAAGGAGCTGTTGCAAACGAGGTTACTGTGACGAAAATACACTTCCTGGGTACAAGTATATAAAATAAACGAAAGACTTGAATACGCATATCTGACGAGCGGCAATAACCGCGAAAGCGGTCGTTAGCTTCCAAGGAAATTTTGTCCAGTCACTCATAATACTTATTGTAATGTATATTCGTCACCATCGGAATACTTTAAAAAATACTGCATGATTGTTTTGTTCGTAACAAACTACTACGTTTCAAACTACTGATTCCAAAGTCTCAACTGGATTGCCGGCGCCAGTCTCTTGCTGTCAGAGTATGCAAATCTTGGAATGCCCTTCCATCTCATGTTGTTTGTGCACCCACTATTGAATCTTTCAAGCAGAGACTCGACGAAATCTTGGCACCTCACATTCGTACACTAAAGGCCAACGGGATTCACTGTAGCCTACATTCTCTATCTCCTACCCGGATCCCTATGTGACTCCTTTTTTGATGTGTAACGATTCATCTGCGTAAACATCCTATGGGACAAGAGAAGCACCAGCTTGTAAGCTATTCCCATAATAAAACTTTGACTTTGAAACTGATCAGCAAGGAACACTTACTTATTTTAAAATTGAGTCACTTCTGAAATTCAAACGCACATGTTTCATCTAACTTCATTCTCCTACAACTTAAACTCAGGTACTGAGCTATACATTTTTTCACAAATCAGATGTCATAAATGGACGATGATTATTGATCTCAATTGATGCGTTCCTTTTACGGCACGATTTGTTGATCTATTTGTTCTTTTCCATCCCGTACCATCTACCGACCAATCCCCTTGCTGAAGTCACAGCTTACTAACACTACAACTAAGCACAGATCCGTTTCTCGCGTGGTAGATTCCTGTCCCAACCCATTAGATCTAAGCGAAGAGGAACAGCTACGATTGGCCATTGAGGCATCCACGGCTGAAATCACACAACCGGAAAAAAAACAGTCGTGTACTCGTGTAAGTGGTACTACCCTGTTTATGCTTTGTCCATTCACGCTTTATTTGTTACTTTTTTGATCCATCCGGACGAAGCATCGTAATTGTATGCAGTTTTCATACCGCCCTGTTGCCTTGTGCGTTAGATTTCTGGGAGCCAAAGTCTCCGTTTTAAAATCCCTGGGTAAAATTCACAATTTTCACTCGGGTTAAACCAGTTGTATTCCGCCCCTGATTAAATCATGTACTGATTTCTTTGACACATAGATAGGTGTATCGTGATTTATCCGGCACGCAGTCCACTCGAACAGATTCGAACAATAACTCTGATCCCCATTGACCACTGTTTCCTGGTCATAGCTATTGCTGGGTAACGAGGAGTGGTAGTTCATCTAGCCTTGAGTTGCAAATTAACCCAAGCATTAACCCCAAATAATAGTGTCACACACCCGTTCTGCTTGTCTCATCGCACACGAGACTAAGGGCTGATTTGGAGCGGCGTAGCGATAAACACGTACTGGCTAGTTCCAGTTCATTTCGGTGTGTACATTTAACAACCTTTTGCTGCTGGGTTTGATAGACATCAACTGAGACAGGGTGTTATTATGCCTCGAGCGCTTGGCAGCTTGTTTTTTCAACGGAGCTGGTATACGTTTCAAACCATTCCAATTCGACCGTATTGTGACTCTCTGTTTGCCTAAAAACAGACAAGGTCCCAACACGCTAGGCGATAAGAACGGGGATTCTGTCGGTCGTGGACAGATTTCCACTGGAATGCTTACCTCACCCAGATTATATATTTTTTTTCTGAACACTTGCCCTTCTACCCACTACGTGGCGCGGCATACATCAAATGTCGAGACTACCAGGTGATATACGTGACGTATGTCGCAGCCAATTTAATCTATCACGGTTGATCACGTATGACTGTTCAACTGAACTAGGCACTGCTTATCCGGCTGCACAATCATATTCGAGCAATGTGGCGTAGACTGCGGTATCCAAACGGAGATAATGTATATCTTATTCTGATACTGGCATGGCCCATAACAGAGAACCGAACAGACAGCTGCAACATACACTCCACTCTTCATGTACAAATGAGTGTCGTTTCGCTGCCATAGACCTCTTATGTTAGCAAAGGCCAGTTGAGCCTGTTATATGCTTGCCCACAACGCACCCCTTGAGTCATAGTAGCACAATTAGGAAAATGCCCTTACTGTCTTTTGCTTCCCCTGCTGCAATAAGGTTAGGAGCTAGATCAAACAAGATGGGGGTAGAAGTGATCCATTTGTGTACTCTATTGCCGAATTACTGCACAGGAGCTTGTTACATAGTCCTATAGCACATCATTGTTCATTCCAGTTTTCAAGAACGATCGCACAAGACCGCGCCAGCCATGGCAAGATAAGGTTTACCACAATCGTTTCCAAATTACATAGACTGTCGAATATCTTCTACTCGTAGATCTCACAACTGGAAATGAGAACTGAACAAACGGTGGCACAATATGCGGAACTTTTCAACTTCAGTGAAACATCGCGTAGTCAACACATGTGCTGCAGTCCTGCGTACGCCACTCAAGGCTTGGAAATGCATGCGGTACAGCTTAACGGAATAGTTTTTTGTTTCATTTTGCGTGTGTGAGCTTAGCGAAACTAGGGTTTTCGTGTTGTTTTTCTGGTGCGGGTCTCTCTCGGAGAGTTCGGTTATTCCTCATGTGTGGCGTTTTATCTGTCATGAACTAGTGTGATGACGGACAATGCGCTCTGTACACCTACTTCATCCTTGTTGAGACCCACCCCTGATGCGCGCTATTTTTCGTCCCTACGGGTTATATTTTCTTCCTCTTCCTCCTTTTCACGCATCAGTCTGCGAGACGTAAAAATGGCGGCAATGACGATGGTGCTCTCATTGTTTTGACGGACGATGACGAAGATGATAAAGAGGACAATCGTGATGCACGATCTAGTCCAGATCTAGACTCTCCTGGTCGAAAGTCGGATTGTTTCATTTTCGACCCCGAGGCCTATCCGAGCACTACGTCCACAGCGACCATTAGCTGTCGTCGCCCTCTTCGGCCTAGCAGCATGACAACAATTCATGATGCCGCCATTACCGCGACTTCCACTGCCAGGGGCGCTGTGAGTGCTGAGGTATCACAGACGGATCATGCGACGCTTGATACCTCAGTTCGTTTACCAGTGCCCGAGCCGAATGAAGAGGTGTTTGAGTTAGCTGTCCGAATGCCTGATGGACACCGGGAAGTGTTTCGATTGGCGTCTACACTTACGTTGCAGGTTTGTGAGCTCTGTTAAAAGTGCAACTTAAAAAAATATTCCAATTGGTTTGGCTTTTCTTCGATTGGAATGAATCATACTTGCTTGTGTGTTCCCGTGGCCAACAGAGAATATTTTTCCCCCATTGTCCTCCATCTAACCAATTACCGTGCGCTGGTTTCTGAGGCTCGATGATGTGCCACGGCTTCACTTTATTGATGGCATACGAAATAGGACATGAAAATCAATTGACTGCAGTTTTAATGCCCGTACTGTTCAGCTAGTCTTTTTCATTTTAGTGCAGTAAGTTTTATTGCGTCACCATCATTTCCTCTTTTTATTTGTTTTTTATTTTACTAGATCCTGCAGCGATACTTTGCTCTGCGTGGCTTCTCTCAAACTCGCTACGAGCTTGTTCATCTTTATCCACATCGAAGTCTATCAGACCTACCTCCTCACGCTACACTTGCGACTCTCGGATTGGCCAGAAAAGACACTCTTTTTCTCCAGGAGCGCTGATTTTCCTCCATAGCACTCACCCACTCAAACCCGAACGTCTTCTGGGGCTTGTCGTGGTCTCACCGTCATTCTCTGATTACCCAAATGCGTGTCTGTTTGTCTTTATGGTAACGTTGTACTATACCGTTCCTTTCTTAACATCCACTGTTCAGAATGCATCCCTCGCTTGCTAAAGAAGATGCCAAAATCGGATCAGTGAGTAATTCCTCCCCAATTTGAATCCAGGTCTTTCCATCTCGTTCATCGCGTCTTTTGAGGGCTCGTCCTGTCATTCTTTAAACCAGCAGCAATGTCTTCATCTCCTTGATGTATGTACCTCGTAGTTGTTTTATCCTATCCATTCTGCTTCTCCCATTGCTATCTAAGTCCCATCATCACCGGCCAATTCCCTTTTCGTGATTATCTACCTCTGTTTTATCCCTTGCACATATCCACGAAGATATGTATGTTGGTATGTTCACTCTTGTATACGTATGCCGGTGTCTGTGCTTGCTCTCTCTCTCGATGAACTCCATTCCGTCGCTACCATCCACACACCTGACCGTCTGCAAAGCCTTCAGCCGTCCGAGGAAGTGATCGTCCCGTTAGTGTTACTCATGTGATTCATTCGGGCTTTGAAAGAGAATGAGTAATACAAAATAATTATGTGCTGTGTTGTGTTCTGACCAGGTTTTTCTTTCGCTGTTGGCGTCTCTCTGTCTAGTTTGTCTTCTGTCAATTGTGTTTTTGTTTGACCTATGTGAGTGATTTTTAACGATCAATTTTAATCTGCTCACTGATTTACTCCAATTTATTTTCCGGCAGTTATATTCCCTCAAATTGGGTGACGGTTGCCATGCTAGAATTTTCAGAGTGGGTGCCTGCTTATTCTTTAGGTAAAACAAATCGTTTTTATGCCATAGTCAGCGATCACTTTTGGATTCTAGTCCCATAGCCTTGGTCATCTTCCCTTACCTCCAAAGCATCGTCTTGTATGTTGGTGTACGGGAGGTTGGCTACGATTATCGTATGGAGTTGGATTTCGAATTAGAAAGCCGATTGAGATGCCATCTCTGACTCTTCATTGAGCGATCCGATGGT